GCAGAGGAGCTGGTGGGGCCCACAGGAACTCCCTTGGACTCTGGATGTCAGCCCAGGAAGCAGTTGGGCCCCACCTGTGACTCTGTACCCCGAAGGGCGCCCCTTTGAACCACTTGGGGCCGGTGGACATGGTGTTGTGCTGGGGGGCCGTGGCGTCCTACTGAGTCTGACCTCCAGCCTACCCCCACCCCCACTCCCCGCGCACACAACGCAGCCCTGACATCGCGCGCTGCCAAGGCAACCCGCATCCCGGGCGTTGTGATTCAGCAAGCACAGACCTGCTTCGTGCCACGTGGGACATTACCAGCCTGCTGGCTGCCCCCTGACGTTTTCATTTATTTTTGTATTCCCAATGCGGCCTTGCCAGAGACCCTTCTCGAGATCTTGCAGATCTTAGGATCCCTCCTGGGGTTTAATGCGAGTGTTCCTGTCACTTGGTGAGAATCCCTTTATTTCCGCTCAGACCTGGGAAAGCCCAGGCTCAGGAATTGGCCTTCATGCTCACCTTGTGTTGAGGAAAACCAACAGAACAGACTTGGGAATTCTGTCCTTCTCTACTGGGAAGGCACGGAGGATGGCGCTTAGAACGCAAATAAGGGGAAGAGATAGGTGAAGAGTCTAGGAACATCAGTGGGGACTGGTCCATCCTCAGTCACCCACTCGAAGCAGACACTGAAGAATGTCTGCAATCCAAACGTGGTCCCTGTCCTCCGAGTATAGTGGAGACAATGACAATCTCCGAAGCTTGGCCAGGCTGGCAGGACTTCAGGGTGGGACTGGGCCTATGGGCAGGTACTTCAGGGAAAACTTTCTAGAGTAGAATCCCAAACAAGGAAGCACTCACTAAGTGAAGAAAGAAGGGAGGGTGTGTCCCCAACCTGGCACGATCAGCTCTGATTTCCCCTATAGATAGCATCCTTTGTCTGTGCTATGAAAATGCCTGATGTCTCCATCATTATCTCAGATTCTGCCAAGGGCCATCAGCAAACATCTGTCTACACCCCACTCCCCAAACAGTGACAGGACAGCTGGACTTAGACAGAGGGTATGCATAGTCCTGCATCCAACCAATGGTGACCCAGAGGCACGGGGACCTCTTGCAGCCCATCTCAACCACTGCCACCAAAGCTGGTATTTAAATGGGGAGCTAGACTTCTGGCCCAGTAGCCACATAGTCACAGCTGACAGAGCAGCCACAGCACACCACTGAGCTGGTGGGCGGAGGCAGCATCCGCGGCTCAGCACTGGGATCTTAAGAGAGTCACTTCCTTCTCTTGGTCTCAGCATGCTTACCTGGAAAATGAAGCAATACTCTTATCTCCCAGACTCCTAAGAGGAGTTAAATGACCTACTTTAGGTGCAAGAGTTCAGAATCATTCCGAATCCTTGGAAGAAAGAGGCTGTTTTGTTCACTCTTGACACGGTACTTGCCGTTAGGAAACTTGCAGTAAATATTTGTTGAGTGACGAGAAGTGAATAAATGAATGTAGTCCAATTTCTCAGTGACCCATAAGTTTGAAGCCTGGTTTTTCTGTTTCCTAGGTGGTGACCCTGGATAAGGTATGCTCATGAGGCTTCCATTACCCAACCTGGGACAGGACATATGACTGGTGTCTCCTTGGAGAGCTATACTGAAGTGTCATGGAGTTGTGGCTGTCCTTGCCCCCAGCAGGAGGCCCTTCTACCAGCCTGGGGCTCCTTAGGTGCTCTTGTGGGATGCCCACTTGTGTCTTCTCTTTTACAGTGACCCTCTTGGCTGCAGAATGGCTAAGGAGTAATAGAATATTCAAACCAAGGTCCATTCGAGACAGGCCTGAGCAGGCCAGGTCAAATCAACTCAGTAGAGGTCACTGCCCTGAGGCCACTGCCCTGGGCAGTCCAACCCTGCCCCTGTTATAGAAACTTCTTTTTCTGGCCATCTAATTCATTCTCTTCCATAGGTGCTAGCACAACTTCTCCATCTCTGCTCTCATTATGCAAGAAAGGAAGCTAAGGCTCAGACAGAATAAATTGTCCTGGTCACATCTAATAAGGCATGGGGTCACACAGCCCATCCAGGCCTCAACACTTGAGAGATCTGTAGCTGCCAAGAGTCTGAACTACCCAGACGGCATCATCAATGGAATCAAGTCGAGCTTCTCAGCTAGGATGGAGACTCTGTGAGGGGCTTCCACCACTTCCCTTATGTCTCATCTCTTGCCATCTCTTTCCTACACTGTGAACTCCAGTTAGGGACAGAAGTAGCCCCAGAGTACACTCTAAGTTACACTGAGAAACCACTGGCCTTTTCAAACTTTTCCAGCTTCTGCAACACACACACACACACACACACACACACACACACACACACACACACTTCCCTCTCAACTCCTACTCATCTTCTTAGAGTCAGATCAAAATCCTAGCCCACCAATTATGATGTTACTATGAACAGAACTAGAGAAAATGACATGTGCTTTGTTGACAGGAAAATGCAATGATTCTGCTACTGTAAAACAGTACAGTGGTTCCTCAAAGAATTAAATATAGAATTACAATATGACCCAGCGATTCCACTTCTCAGTATGTGCCATAAGATTAAAGGCAGGAAGCCCAAACACGCGCCCGCGCGCGCGCGCGCACACACACACACACACACACACACACAGTACCCCCCCCCCCCGTTGTAGCAGCATCATTCACAATAACCACACCCCATTGTTTACCTACCAGCTAATGATGGATAAGCAAAGAGTGGTAGGTACAGACAAAACAGACCATGGAATACTGCTCATCCTTTAAAAGGGAGGAAATGCTGTCCAACAATGGTGGTGTGCACCTGTAATCCCAACATTTGGGACCCTGAAGGAGGAGAGTTCCAGACCAGCCAGGGCTACGTAGTGGGTATGAAGTCAACCTGGACTGCATAGAGGCTCTGTTTGGAAAAATAAAAGTAGAATAAAAACAGGAAGTTCTTACTCATGCTGCATCATGGATTAAGCATGAAGCCATTGTAACCAATGATAAGCCAGACATAAAAGAACAAATATTCTTTCCTTTACATGAAATGATAGAGTATTCAATTGTGGGAAGAGAACATGGAATGGCAGTTACAGGGCACCTGAGGATTTGGAGCAGGGGTGGAAGTGGATTGAATCCTATCTCCATCACTGAGCTACATCCCCAACCCTTGTAAAAAATTTATTTTGAGACAGGGTCTCACATGTTTTCAAGCCATGATGGGCCTTGAACTAGCAATCCTCCTGCCTTAGTATCCTACTGAGTAACTGATATTAAAACACAAGCCAGCACATCTTGTAGGAGTTATTATTTAAATAGATGTGGAGTTTCCATTTGGAAGATGAAAAGTTTTCAGAAATGGAAGGTGGTGATAATATAAATAGGTTTAATGCCAATAAACTGTACAGTTAAAAACCAGTTAAAATGGCTGGGTGTGGTGGTGCACCCAAAGAGAAGCAGCAGACTGATCTATGCTGTCTTTGAGACCAGCCTGGTTTTTATAGCAAGTTCCAGGCCAGCCACAGCTACATGGAAGACCCTGTCTCAAAAAACCAACAACAGAAACAGATAAAATGTGGCTGGGGAGACGGCTCGATGGGTAAAGGGCCTTGCTAATAGCCTGACAACCTGAGTTGGATCCCCAGAACCCAAACAATGGGGGGAAAACTGACTCCTGAAAGTTGCCCTCTCATCTACACAGAGGTGCCATGACACCCGTGTACCCCCACCATACAAACACACACACACTAGAATGTTTAAGTCAAATAGAAATTTTTATATTAACTCTACTGCCACAACTTGATAAAATTAAAAGGCAAAGCTCTCTGGAAATCCCTCCCTGATACTCCAAAGCAATGAGAAATTGGTTTGTCCCATGAGGGACAGCAACTTATGCTAAGTTTTGCACTAAAAAGTACTGAATGTATTATGTTTCAAATCTAAAACTAGTAGGTAAAAACAGCACCCAAATGTTTTGACTTGAAAATCCTGCTGAAGTCGTATTTTCCTCAAATTCATTAACAAGCTCTATTTTCTCGTGAAATCCTTCTGAGGAAGATGAGGCAAGAGCCCAAACACAGCATGAGTGAGGAAGAGTCCAAGGTCCAGACCTGCCGGGAAGACTAGTCTACAAGGACTCTGCCTTGCCACAAACCAACCTGCAATCAGAAACCAGGTGACCACTCCAACCTGAGAGGGAGATAGGATAGAGCAAGAAAACTGGGGTCCCGGGGCAGGGGGACCAGATGGGCACCAATCAGAAGAGAAGTCCACGCAGATCCAGAGCACCAGCTTACTCCGCATCTTCCTACCCCTCGGAGGTGACTCAATCATGTCAAGGAGGAGGAAGGCCGGAGTATAAAGGGTTGTGCTTTGTTAGGGACAGAGAAACAAAAGTAGACGCAGCTCTTGGGCACCTTACTCTTGCCGTCTGGGCTCTCTGGGCTCACTGCTGAGTACAGGAGAGGCAGAGGTATTCAAGAGGCCAGATGCGTACTGGCTGGGAAAAGACCGGAGGGTAGAAGGGCGCTGGAGTGAGATAGGCTTGCACAGCTGGAAGGACCTGTCCTGACAGCTCTGTATGGAGGGTGGGGCAGAGCCAATGGAGGAAGGACCTGGCATGGCCGGCCTGGACAACCTGAGGTTCCAGGTCTTGGGTATGCCCTGGTTCTGTGACCTTGGCCAGCACCTTTCTCTTCTAAGCCTATTTCTTTGTCTGCTGAGTAGTCAAAATCTGCCTTTGCCACTCACTGGATTTGTGAGCCTCGTATTTGGCAATGGACCACACCTGTTTTTCAGACACACCTGCTTTTGCAATGCTGATGTCTAGCAGCGAAAGCGGAAACACCTACAGGGCGAGCCCTAGGCCGGCTCTGGAAGCCACCCACTTGCTAGAGGTGCCTAGGACCGTCGTTTTGTGTGGGGCTCCCTCCGGGCTGCCCCATCCACTGTCCTCCGCAGCCTTGGGAGCTTGGAGGGTCCAAGGCAGCCCAGAGGCAGTCATGACGGAGCCGGAGGCCGGGACCGAGGACCTGGACACCCTCATCGACGAACTGGACTACCTGCCGGGCCACTTCCACCTGGAGATGCAGCTCAACTTCGAGCCTCGCTCACCGGCTCAGCTGCGTGCCCGGGACCTGAAGCTCCAGCGGGAGGGTCTGAGACAGGAGCTGGAGCTGGTAGCCATCCCGCAGCTGCCTGCTGTGCGTCACCTCCTGGGAACCTTTTCCTTCTACCTGGAGGAGCTGGACGAGGCCCGCGAGCGTTTCCTGGAGGTGGCCCGCGAAGACCCTGGCAACCTCAACGCCTGGGCCAATCTGGCACACGTCTACGGGCAGCTGGGCCAGGAGGAAGAGGAGGAGGCTTGCACCGCGAGACTGGCCAGCCTCATGGGCCTGGCAGGGGACCCCGAGGATCCAGGAGACCCACGGCTCTGCGCTGCCCGCTGCCTGGCAGAGCAGGGGTATGCACACGGCTTTGACGTGGGATGTGCCAGTCCAGAGGAACGTGCACAAGTGCTAGAGGCGGGCATCGCGCTCTACGACAAGGCGCTGGGCTATGGGCAGCAGGTGAGTTATGGAAGGACCTGTCCATTTACTTTTCGGGGATCCCCACCACCACCACCACCACCACCACCCCCCCGCCCCATTCCTGGCCCAGGCTGTTCAATAGCTTTGCATTCCTGAGCACTGCCTACCTAGCTCTCTGTTTCAGCACCAAGGCAAATCCAACTAGGCTAACTTATCCATTCTCCCTTCTCTGCCAGCAAGCACCTATGCACTTGTGCCTGATAAGAGGCACAACCAGACGCCAGAAACTTGGCAGATTTTCTGTCTCTTCTCTCCCCTCATCCAGGTACCTATCCATTTAGACCCCAAATTTTGTCAGCTCCACTGCCTCAGCTTAGAAGGGCTTCCTCTCCTCCCCAGCCTTCCTCTGCCAGCCCAGTCTCTGGAACTTCCTGCCTGGACTGTGTGGTCGCTCTCCGGCTCTGCTCTCCTCCCCAGGCTTCACAGTGGTTGCATCTCACTGCCATGTCTTCAGCTCAGCCCCCTCCACACGAGCTGGCAGAATGAGTCGTAGGCTTGAGTGGCATTTGAGGCCCTCAGTCCTCCATCCAGGCTTTCCCTACATCCCACATCCACTCATTCCCTGTGTCTTGCTTACAGCTCCCTTCCTTCCTGTGTCTTGTCTCCTTCTTCCTGGGGTACTTCCTGCTCCTGTGGCCTGCATAGCCCTCAGTAGCTCTTAGATTTGCCTCAAATTCCCCCACCAGGGAAGCCTCCATGATTCCAGGCTGGTCACAGCTCAGCTTCCTCGGCACTGTCCCAACTGTCCCTCCAGCTCAGTCTCAACAGTTTTGAGAGAGGGCACAGTGTTCTTCTGATTTATTACCATAAACCCGTCTGGTACACAGTGGCACTCATAGGTCCTGGCACTAAATAGACCTAGTATACTTATCATTTGTCTTGATCAAGGACCTATGCAATGATTGAACATCCCTGTGAGCCTGGAATCAAGGTGTGGTTCTATGTGCTTGGGGCTATGGTATCCTCTGAAGGTTTGCCTGATTGGGGACAGTCTACAGCCAGACTAGTTTATAATAGGGTATAGTACCTAGCTGGTTGTTGGTGTTTTGCTGTTTTCTGTTTCTTAGAAACAAGCTGATGGGTCCAGCCTACGCTGCAGGGGAGGGGGTTACACAGGTCAGAAATACTAGCAGGTAGGGAGGGATGGGGGGCATCCCAGAGGCTGCCTGTCACTAAAGCTGATGAGAGAGCTCTTGAGACCAACGCTTGGGCATGTCTCCAGTCTCAAAGCCACCACACATCCCGAGTGTCTTTCCAGCACAGCATACACCTAAAGGAGAAATGTTAGAATGGTGACTTCAGGGAGGCCAAGTTGGAGGGTGTGGACTTGACCTGAGGACAACAGTTCAGGATAGAGGTCAAGAGGGGATTTAGGCTGAAAGGGTCCCGGTCCAAGTCCCAGCTCCCTGAGCTCTCTAGCTCCAGTCAGCCAATACCTGGCTCTCCAAGTGGCCTTTCCCTCTTGGTGAAATGAGATAATAATGGCATGTGTGTCAGAGGCTTTCTCATTAGTGTAATGGCGGCACCATTTGGTTGATGGCATAATTAAGAGTTAATGTTTGTAAAGTTCCTAGAAAGGGCCCCCACAGAGACAGCCACAGGTGATCCTCCATCTCCTCACCTACAAAGCCTCCTCCACCCCCAGGCTAGGCATAACTGTGACCATGGCAGGGAGTCAGCAAGGTCCTCCAGTTTTGAACTTGGGGTTAAATGCCAGGCCACTGGGCCTGGGTAGTGCAGCCAGCACTGTGTGTGAATGTGATTGTGGTCACAGGTCACAGCAACAGTGTGGTGCTTGAAAGAGCCCTGGATGGGGAGCTGAAGGCTCAGGGGGGACTCAGCCTCAGGGACACCCACAGTGGAGGTTTCTTCCCACACTGCCATTTCCTCATCTGTGCAGTCACACAGGAAGGGAGACTTACAGTTACTGAGGTCCTTTTCTGATCTCAGGAGGTGTTTGGGCGACAAAGGCTTCCTAAAAGATTGGTTCAGGGAGGCAAAGGCTTAGGAGTGGCAGGCAAATAGAGGCCAACTACTGTCCATGTGGTCAGCACAAGTCACTCGGGCACTGCGCAGCCTGTGGACAGCCAGAGGATGGAATACTGGGAGACTGTTGCTTTGGGGAGTGCCTCTCAGTTCTGTGCAGAGCAGCTGTGGTCCAGAGAGAGGTAGGGTTTGCCCCCTGTCCCATCTGCCAAGGCTCATGCTCATGCTCATGAAGTACGTGGAGCTGGTATGTGCCCAATAAATAGGACAACGGTGATGATTCTAGAAATCAGTGCTCGGGACTTGGGCTGGAGAACTCAACTCTGTTACTTAGTGTTTTGCTGTGTGTCTTAAATAGGCTGTTTGTTTCTGGCCCCAATGCAGACTTCACAGATGCCAGTACTAAGCTCTGGATCTCTTCCTGAGATGTACTGTGATTATCCTGTCAAATGACAGATAGACCTGGGCATGCCTAGCAGGTGGTTACTGAATTTCTCTACATTTATCCATACCTACTGTGCGCCAGGCTTGTATTTAAGAAGTTTCAGCATTAAGAGGTTCCTGAACTCCGGGCATTGGTGGCGCACACCTTTAATCCCAGCACTCAGGAGGCAGAGGCAGGCGGATCTCTGTGAGTTTGAGACCAGCCTGGTCTACAAGAGCTAGTTCCAGGACAGCCTCCAAAGCCACAGAGAAACCCTGTCTCGAAAAACAAAAAACAACAACAACAAAAAAAAAACAAACAAACAAAAAAAAAAAGTTCCTAAACAGCAGAGAAAGCAAACATTAGTTTCTTCATTAATCACCTTACCCAAGCCCTTCCTCTGGGAGCAGAGGCCAAAAGGACAAGTTAGAGATGCCTCCGGAGCTACCTGAGGTCATGGCATATGACATTCTCTAAATATTGAGCACCAGTTCCCCAGGGCCTGACGATGGACATAGACATCAGTGGCACATGGGGACACAACGTTGGCATCAGCGGTGATCTGGAAAATCCAGGTCCTGTGGAATAGAGAAGCAGTGTGCACATTCTAGAGAAGTGACACTTTAAAGCAGAGGTGACTGATGGAAACTTCTGGAAGAGATGAAAATATGTTAGCAGGAATAAGATGAGGGCATTTCCAGCATAATGTCTGTAAAGGCCCTACAGCAGGAGCTCACGGAGACTTCAGAGACAGTTGGCTTGGGGTGGAGATGAGGGCCAGAAGGAGGCAGCCGGAAGCTTTGTAGAGATCACATGATGAGTCAAGAGCTACTGACATGGCCTCTGAAACTGGGTCCCACCTTCCTCTTTAGCCACATTTTCCCTGACTGCGTTGGCCCCCTCTCACAGAAATCCTAACATGCAATTCTCCAGACATCCTGTGCGGCCTTCTCCCTCCCCAAGTAGGACTGCCCTCTTGCCAAGAAAGCAAATGCATCCATCAGAGCTTAGCCCACGTGTCACCTGCCTCACCTGCCTCTGGGAGCCTCCTCACATAGCCAACACCTCTGGGCACCTTCCAACTTCATTTTACAGGAGAACCCCATGGTTCAGTTGAGAGGGAGCTGAGGCATGGCTAGCAGTTTGTCTGAGGGGTAGTGAGCTTTCCTCTGGCATAACAGAATGTGGTCGGAGGGAGACCCCTCGAAAGCACTCTCTCAGGAATCTGGGATGGGGAGTGCTGAGAGAGCTCAGGCAGGCCAGATACCATTTGTTGGGGAGATCATTCAAGACAGAAAGTAGAGGCACTCAGGGTAGGAAGCAGGAAGAGGGACTCCCCAGTTTCAAGAGCACTTGTGGGAGCAGAGGAGTTGAGCAGTGGCTACCACAGCGTGTGCAGTGCACGAGGTTTTCTAACTGTTGAGAAGGGGTTGCAACAGACAGGCAGGATGAACCAGGAGCTCCTTGAGGCCAGAGGACAAGTGACTACTGGAGTGTGGTGGATGCTGTCTAACCCCGACTACAAAGGAAACAGTGTGAAGCTCATTGTTCAGCTGGCGAATGGTGTGGGAGAGGGTATAGATCTTTGGGATGTCTGCTCTCTGCTCCTCATTCCCTGCTGGGTGGTTTGGGGTTGTGGTACTGGGGAAGGAATCCAGGCCTCGCTACACTAGACAAATGTTCTATTGCTGAGCTGTACCTCTAAGCCTAATTTCTGAACAAAATTATAAAGAGCTGTGTTGCTGTTATCACTCTTCCCTTCCTCTGAAGATCACCATTACACACACACACACACACACACACACACACACACACACACACAGACACACACACACACACACACACACACACACACACACACACACAACAAACACACACACACACACACACCCCCACCCCCACACACACACACACACACACACACACACGGGGCAGAGGGGTGAGGAGAGAAGCAGAAAAAGACAAACACTGATTTGCAGTGATTCCTGGCCGTAGATCTCAAGGTCCCGTCGGCATTGAGAGCACAAGATTTGTCTTTAGCCGGATCAGGTGGAGATTCCACCCCAACCCCAGGTGGTTGCAGGCAGGTCCTGAGCCTCAGTTTCCTTGTCTGCCACATTGAGATCCTAACACACTGTCCTAGGGTTGCTGGGAAGACGACCAGGGCATGAAAGTACCAGGTGGGCTGTGGATTAGGACCCTGTGCAGTCCTCTCCCCAGCATCTGGCCTGTGCAGACACTGTTCCTGGCTCCGTACCAGACAGTGTCTGTGGTTCTTCCTGGAGGGAATTCTGCTTTGTCCCATGAGAGGTGAGCCCCCTCCTTCTGAGAAAGAAGATCAAGAGGTCCAGCTGTGCTAAAGTTTTATGAGTAGGCCAGCAGAACTCCCGAAGATGGTGGCAGTTTTGCTTGGAGGGTGATCCTGTACAACACATGTCTGCTAATATACATGCAGATGCATGTGTGAACACACATGAACACAGGCACGCCCACACAAGTGAGCACTCACCCGTGTGCATGCTCACACACAAGCCCCTCCCCGCGCCTCACAGCAGGCCTGGGTAATGAT